AGCAGCAGCAGCAGCAACAGCAGCAGCAGCAGCAGCAGCAGCACGGTAGCAGCAGTAGCAGCAGCAGCAGCTGCTGCTGCTGCTGCTGTGGCGCTCCCTGTGACGGTATGGTTGCTGCTGCAGCTGCTGCTGTAGCTGCTGCTGCAGCTGCTGCTGCCGTGCAGCAGCCAGAGTGGCACCAGCAGCGCCCGCAGCAGCAGCAGCAGCAGCAACAGCAACAGCAGCAGCAGCAGCAGCAGCTGCTGCTGCTGCTGCTGCTGCTGCTGCTGCATGCCCGCCCCGATATTTCGAATATCAGCAGCCTTTGCCTATTGGCTGCGCTACAGCTGCTGCAGCAGCAGAGGCTTGCTGCAGCAGCAGCAGCGCTCGCTGCAGCAGCAGCACCAGCAGTGATTGCTGCAGCAGCAGCACCGCTCGCTGCAGCAGCAGCAGCAGCAGTGGTTGCTGCTGCAGCAGCACCGCTCGCTGCAGCAGCAGCAGCAGCAGTGATTGCTGCTGCAGCAGCAGCAGCAGTGATTGCTGCTGCAGCAGCAGCAGCGGTGGTTGCTGCAGCAGCAGCACCAGCACCAGCAGCAACAACAACGGTGATTGCTGCAGCAGCAGCGGCATTAGCAGCTGCTGCGGCCCCTGCTGCTGCTGCTGCTGCTGCTGCTGCTGCTGCTGCTGCTGCTGCTAGTGTAGTAAAGAGATGAGTGGATATATTTTGTTGTTATTTTGTTAATATTGAGCTGTACATACACCCCAAACTGAGCTGTCTCCGCTTGATGTTTTTTGTTTGCTGCAGCAGCAGCAGCAGCAGCAGCAGCAGCAGCAGCAACAGCTGCAGCAGCAGCAGCTGCTGCTGCTGCTGTTGCTGCACATAACAGCAATAAAAATAATAAGTAAATAAATAAATAAATAAGTAACTGCTGCCGCTGTTGCTGCTGCTGCTGCTGCTGCTGCTGCTGCTGCTGCTGCTGCTGCTGGAGAAATTCCCCTCTATATACATAATGCTTGTCTGGGGTGTATAGGCAGCTTTCATTAAAAAAAAAAAAAATAAAAGACGAAGCGGCCGCTTAACATTTATATTAAACAGCAAAAACAGCGTTGCTTGCTTCTGCATGCATGCCAATGCATGCATGCAAGTGCATGCATGCAAGTGCATGCAGGCGCATGCATTCACGCATGCATACAAGTGCATGCATGCATGCAAGTGCATGCAAGCGCATGCATTCATGCATGCATGCAAGTGCATGCAAGCGCATGCCTGCAAGTGCATGCATGCAAGTGCATGCAAGCGCATGCCTGCAAGTGCATGCATGCATGCAAATGCATGCACAGGAGCAGCAGCACTCGTTACAGTTCCCCCATTCGAGTGTTTGTGTTTTATTTATTTATATTTATTTTGTTTGTTTATAAAGTAAATGAACATAATGTTTGTATTTATTTTAATATTTTATGTATATTTTGTTGTTTTTGTTTGTTCTTTTTGCTGCTGCTATTTGGGGTGTATACGCAGCTGCTGCTGCTGCACGGTAGCGGTTTCCCTCGAATATATATCCGTTTTTTTTCGTATAAAAACAAAAATAAAGAAAAATATAAATAAATAAATAAAATAAAAGCGTAAACAGAAGAAAAAAGGTAAAAAAGTTTAATTTTATTTGGGGTTTCTGAGTATAAGTATGACGGCATCACCGCGTAGAAAAAGCTTCGATATGAATCTATCTTTATTTACATGTTTTTGTTTTTTTTTTCCGCCGCCTTTTGTTGTCTCCG